TTTACATAAATTTAGTCTTCATATTTTTCACTCATTCCAAAAGCCTATTTAGGTCCGCTTGAAGCCTATTAGCATCTTCCTCACTGTTCCTCACTGTTTTCTTCAGTTCCTGACACTTCAGCTTATTTCTAGCTTCTTTTGGCACTTGATGTTCAGTCCATAGCAAGGTTATCACCCTGATGATGTCTCTGAACCAACCACTTGCCTAACTGCTTCTGGAGCTCTGTTCAGTTAGGGATGCTAGTCAGGCAGGAGGACCAATTAAAGAAGCTGAGGCAGTGGGCAGCCAGCAACCCCACTAGGAGAGGTTAAAGCTGTCAATGTAGATGTGGTCTGTAAGGACATTTCAAGATGAAGGTACCCTCTGAAGAGTTCTTGAATTACTAAAAGTGTACCCACAACTGCCAGGCCATCAATGTAGACCAAGAAATCTTTAGGTCACAGTTGTGGCCTACTAATCACCAAGCTTGTGGGTTTGGGGGGCTGGAATTAAAGGAAATGTCAATGGTCCCTTGATGTGACATTGGGAGGCCATCACTAGAAAGCGGGTGAGTGGCACACAACACAAGGGTGAGGGGGCACCACTTGATGTCAGGATAATCTTATCTCCATCAGAAAATGAACATAAATTGAAGACTTAAAGTGCATAATTGGTTGCTTGCCTCATTGAGGTGCCTGACAAAATCCTTTCCCTCCCACTATTGGGAAGTTCTTACAAAGGTCAGAATGAATGTGGGAGCTATTCCGACCTATTTTCCCAGACGCCCTTCAGCCTCCAACCCTTTCTCCATTGGGCAGGGAAAGTCCAGTCCTTTGTGTCTTCTGCAAATTTTAAAATTATGCCTTGTACTTTCAAGGCCAAGCCATTAATGAATATCACAAAGCTATGGTTCTGAGGCTGAACCACTGGCAACTGTGTATCTTTCAATGGTTTGAAAAATAGTCATCATTAAAATCCTATTTTCTATGCCTTAGCTAATTTTCTACACATGCTGCTACTGTCCTTTTAATCCTATGCCTTTCAATTTTGCTAGCAAGACAGATGTATGCACTTTGTCAATTACATTTTGAAAGTCCATGTTCATAATGACTGCATTGTTCACATTTACCCTGGCTGTTCCCTCATCAAAAAACTTAATCATGTTAATCAAACACAATCTGCCCTTAATAAATCCGTGCTCACATTTTATTAATCCATGCTTGTCCAAGTGGCTTTTGATTTTCTCCTCGATCACAATGTCTGAAGCTTCCCATCACTGATTTTAATCTGTCTGGCCAGTAATTACAAGGTTTATCCTTCTGTCCTTTTTTGTACAAGGGAGTAAGTTATAAAACTCTCCAGTCCTTTGGCACAGCCTCTGTATCTAATGTTGCGACCAGACCATGGGTGAGGTTTCCCAATCCATTACCATACCAGAAAGCATAAACCAAACTGTAAAGCTACTGGATAGGGGGAGATAAACTGGATCCCCTTCTTCATTCACCAACACTTTGATTGATTGCAACTAGATTAATGTAGAAAATGATCATTTTCCCTTATCTCTCTCCCAGAGACAATGAGATTATATTTTAAGAGGAACCAATTTAACCAGGTTTCATGAATCAAAAAAAGTTTATTAACTACTACATGTGAGAAGAAATACTACAGCAACACATATGCACAAGGATTACAAATAAAGGATGAGTTGAAAATGACAGAAGTAAGAGAAAAGGATCAGTTTGAATTGTTTGTGAAGAATGGATAGTTGAATGATGCAGCTATTGCAGTGGAGGTTACAAATAGCATTGACATTGGCATTAGTCAGATCACAACTGGAATACTTAAACAATTTTGGGTGCCTTACCTAAGGAAAGGTATACCAACATTGGAGGCAGTCCAGGAGAAGGTTCACTACGCTAATTCCTGGTATAGAAGGACTGTCTTATGAGGAGGGGGTAAGTAGGTTGGGTCTGTATTCATTGGAGTTTGAAAGAATGAGTGGCGGCATTATTGAAATGTATAAGGTTTGTAGGAGACTTGACAGGTTAGACGCAGAGAGGTCAGTGCCCCTAGTGGGAGAGTCTAGGATGAGATCACATAACCACAGAATAAGCAGTTGCCCATTTAGGACATTTAGAGATGAGGCAGAATTTCTTCTCTTAGTGGGTAGTGAGTTATTTACCACAAAGAGCTGTAGAGACTGGATTGTTAAGTATATCCAAGGCTGAGATGGACAGATTTTTAATCAATAAGGTAATCAAGGGTTATGGCGAAAAGGCAGGCAAGTGGAGTTGAGGATTATCAGATCAGCCATGATCTCATTGAATGGTGGAACTAATTCAATGGGCTGAATGGCCTGCTTCTGCTCCTACATCTTATGATCTTATGGGAAAAACACAAAGTGTGTTTGTAGTTTGGGACATAAACTACAGAGGGTGCCGTGCTGTTTGTTATCTTTCAATTTTTATTTGCTCTGCCCCCACCACTGTTTGAAGAGCTGTTGATTGAAGTTCTCTTCACATCCTAGGTGTGAAATTCTGTTGGCCTCACTCTCCGGATAGTCACTTAACTTACATCTGCAGCCATTTCTGATTGTGCAGCCCTCATTTTAAAAAAAATCACATTTTGGAATTACAAGTTTAAAATGTCGACTGTACTTTGGGATTGTGACCTGTGGCCATGACACAAAGGAGGACTGTTAGCTTCTGACCAGCACCTCCATTACTTCTACCTTTACTTCCCTCAGCAACTGAGGATGCATCCCTTCTGGATAGAATCCACTTTGAAGTACTGCCAGCATTTTTAATGCTTAACTGCATTTGCTATCTTATCTTTTTTTTTGTTTACTATAGATTTGCCAAAGTCATCTTTGCTCTTTTACTTGTTTGTCCTTTAAGCTGAATATTACCATATTCATCTGCTATTTTTGGCTGGCAGATCTGCACCCAGAATGTTCTGCTGCAAAGAGGACAAGATTCTGCAGATGATTGAGTTTTGAACAACTTACTAGCTTAGGAATTCTTCTGCTTCCATCTTCTCTATGTTTCTGATATGTACTTGCTTTCAAAAGTAGTCTGCACTGTTTTTGTTATTTGGTTCACTAGGCAGAATGATCATAGACATCTTTCCTGTGGGAGTCAAATCAATGTCAAACTCGTGTGCGAAGCCTTCCGAATGTCTTTGTGGTGCTTCCCTTAACCTCCATGAGAGCTCACTCAGGCTTAAGCTGTCCATCGAAGATTCACTTTAGGAAGCAAATGTCAAGCATTTTGGCTATATGGCCAGCCCAGCTGAGTTGTCACTGTCTCAGAGTGGTATGGCATGTCATCTCAGCTGAATACCTCAGTGTCTGGCATTTTATTCTGTAATCTGAGCTTCAAAAGCTTTCAAAGGCAGCTTTAGTGAAATGGTAAAGACTATGCAAGTTTGGTGTGTAGATCAGACTGGCTATTGTGTTATAGATTCTCAGTCTGGTGGGCAGACTGACTCCTCTTCATTCTCACAGTAATATATGAAGATTGGCAAAGGCTAAACTGCTTTTGCAATTCCTACAGATGTCTTGTCAGTATCGAGAGTTAGAGAGAGTGCTGTTGCAAGGTTGTGGTCATGGACTGAAACGTTGGCTCAAGATCGAACTTTCCACCAATAGCGCGGTACATTACTTCCGTTTTGTTTCATGCAGATGGAAAGGCCACATGCATTAGAGGGGAGGTGCATCCAACTATACACCGGCAGCTATAGCACAGTCACTGCCGAATAGGTAACTATGAAGTATCCCTTTCAAGATCTCATCTTTGCCTGCAGTTATCTCAGCTTCAGCAGCTTTCTGTCCATGTGATAGCTTATTTTGATGTTGGGATCATCAACATATAAAGCATCCGACAACATTGACAGAGAAGTACTTGAAGTGGTGTGGCACTAGCACACAGTCTTTCTCAACTGCCGGAAATGAGATTCCCCCGCCTTGTCAGACTTATTTTTGTTGAGTCTTTTTAAATTCATCAGAATACATGAGAAGGTCAACATCTTTGAACATTGTGTTCTCCATTCCCAAAGGGATTGATCTTTTAACAATAGTGTGGCAACACTTCTGCGCATCGTTTGAGTGGTTGGCCAATCTTAAAACATTTCTCTTTCATCCCGCCGATCATCCGTCTGAAACGATTGACTATATGGCATGAAATGACAATTTTCATACTTTCCATTAATAACTTTAGATTATATATGATACATATTCGCTACTCAACATGCGGCCACGATTTACGATCTATAGAATAAACGCTGCAGCCGGTGATCATAGTTGTCCCTGCTCCCCATTTGGTAAAATGTACAAACCTTCATGATTAATAGAGCAGTGTGAGCTTGTTTTTATCAAGGTGAATGACAGAGTCATCTCCACCACTGTAACAACTTTGCCTTCCACACTTGCTAAATTAGGTGTCAGTAATTCGTCAGGCTGCATGCGTTAGGCTTTCTCACTGACAGGAAATCCCAGGGGACTGCTACATACACTTGCCAGTCAGCACAGCCAACGGCAAATTGAGATAATGGCGATGAGTGTCAATGTTAATAGGGCCATCTCCTGAGAAAGGACTACACCAAACATAACTGGATACATTCCTGGTCTGGTCAAATCCTAATGGTGCTGGATCTGCGCTGGACACATTTTTCCACTCCTCTGGCTCAGCTTTGTGTGACATTCCCTCCCCTTTTCGCTCCTGCTCCCTGGTTCTCTCTGATTAGTGGTGATCTCTCTCCGCTGTTCCTCGTCGTGACTGGCGTTTTCTCTCCCCAGCCTGGCTGCCCTTGTTTGTGTGTGTGTGTGTGTGTGAGAGAGGCGCTGTTCTTTCTCTCTGTCTGTCTCTCTCCTCCTCCTCCTCCAGCCCCGGTTCTTTCGCTGTGAGTGGAAGGTGCTTTCATTGAGCAGGAGCTTCGTTCTGACCCCTCTGATCTCTCCCTCGCTCAGTGCTCTAACACAGCCGCTTAAGTTTGATGGGGAATTTCACACCGCTCCGGAAAAATGCCTGTTATGAAAGGATTATTAGCGCCACAAAACACTTTCTTGGATACCATAGCAACGCGCTTTGATGGGACACGTAAGTTTCTTTTTCTGTCTCAGGTCTGTTTTGCACGTGAAGAGTTCTAAAGGTGTAGGGATGCAGGAATGAAGAGGAAACGCTGCTTGGGGGGACTGGGACAAGTTAGTCTAAGTCCCGGATCTCAGTGGCGCTGAGAAATGGGTGTGAACAGCTCGTTCTGGGCGATGTTTGTCAAGCGCGTCGCTGGGAGCATTTCTCCAAATGAATGTGGGGAGCGTTTCGTGAAAGAAACGGCCAGATGATGAGATGTGAGGGACATTTGCCAGTGTTCACCGGTTTCAAGATTTAAACCTTCAATTCTTTGACAACCGAGTGTGGATGATTGACTGTCCCGAGTCCCCGGGAGTTATTCTTTTAGACCCAATTATAATCCAGACTCAGGTTCCGTGAGGCACACGCTAACTCAATTGGTGTAAAGGTTTTATACTTTGAGAAATGGGTTTTAATGAGACAGGAGAGATTGACACACTCCCCACTGGTTTGGACTGGGATGTAATGACGATTGATTTCGGCGATCTGGTTTAACTGTAGTTTTGAAACTCCTTACATTAATTGCTGGGAGTACATAACAAGAAATCACAGATAAAATGTCCATGATATTTAGCCTTTTCATTTAAATTGTCACACATTTTAAAAGCCTTCATTCTCTCTTTCAAATTTCTTTTCTGAAGCTATCATGTAACATTCCTTCTCGATGTTGTTGAATATACTTCTAGCGGTGAGTTATCTACCTCTGGCCGACTTTCTAAAATTAGCCTCGAATGTTCAGAGATCGTTCATTGGCTACTTTGTCGGATTGATGAATCTGTTAAACTCCTGTCATATGATATTTGTTAAAGGGGTAGTGCTGCTGAAGAGTGCAGGAGAAAGTTGGTGAGTTTGATACCGGTAGAAATCTGACGTTCCTCGGTCTGCACCTTACAACCTAATAATTTAGAACGATAAGATTTTTCGCAGTGTGCGCCTTTCATCATAGCTTCTTATAATGGATTTAAGCTTCTTTGTAAAAAAGAACTCAATGAGGTGAACCCCAGGTTTTGTGTGTTCGAAAGTTAATTTAAATGTTAGGTAACGGGTAGGTTTTGCCATCTGGCCTTCCAAATTGCTGTCCGATTTTGATAACGAAATATACTGAGACTTACGAATCAGATTTAGACCTGCGAAGCATTTATTCAGCTCCCAAGGACAGAATACTTTCTGAGTGAGAAATGGAATGGAATTAGCCCATCTATTAATGCAGAAACCTTGCGTCAAATACTGCCTTAGGATATAGCTATTTACTGCAATTAGGTTCTATAATCTTAAAGCGAATAAATTTAATGTTATGACACCCGACTCAGCAAAATAATGCATTGTACATTATGTGACTTCACATCCGGGTGTATAAAATTGTGCATTTTTCAACGAACAAGAAAAATGCCAATAATGCACCATACGCGACATAAAGTTAAAACAAAATCAGACATATTCGAATATCAGAAATGTATTATAAAGTAATAAAATAGCATTATGTTAGAAACTCGAAGTTCATAAACTTTTAAATCACTTTACAATTAGAATATTAGATTAAGTGGTATGGAAACAATTTATAGATATTCTGTTGATACAAGGTATTAAACCATTTGTTTCACACTACAGTACACTACTGTACAGTCTGTCACAGCTGAATAACTCTTGCGAAGCTTCCTTTAACCTATTGGCAAAGGTCAGATTACAACAGAGGGCTGACTTTTCCAAATGTATAGCTGCCAAAATGAAGGCCTCTTGCTGGGAATACATAACAAGAAATCGCAGATAAAATGTCCATGATATTTAGCCTTTTCATTTAAAACTCGTGAAAGCAAATTTGATACTTCTCAATATAATATTTGGTAGGAAAAAAAGTGCTGATAGCATTTGTTTGAATAATAACTCCATACATGCATCAAATGATACCCTTATATAATCATACTCACTAAAGTTCACTGGATGTTGTATTGGAAATTCAGTCCTCTGTATTGACTCTAGAACCCATGAAGTCTCACCACTTTGAGAAACATAAGGAAGCAAATTTCCTGCTGACTATTTATCATCCTATTTCAGGTTACGTTTGGTAATCATGGAGTCATAAAGTCCTAGAGATGTACAGCACAGAAACAGACCCTTTGGTCCAACTCATTGATGCCAACCAGATATCCTAAATTAATCTATTTATATTTGCGAGCATTTGGCCCATATCACTCTAAACCCTTTCTAATGATATACCTATGCAGATCACCTTTAAATGTTGTCATTGTACTAGCCTCTATTATCTCCTCTGGCAGCTCATTCCATACACGCACCACCCTCTTCGTGAAAAAGTTGCTCCTTAGCTCCCTTTTAAATCTTTCCTGTCTCACCTTAAGCCTATGCTCACTAGTTTTGGACTCCCCTACTCTGGGAAAAAGACCTTGATTATTCAAACTTTCCATGCCCCTCATGAATTTATAAACTTCTATAAGGTCACCCCTCATCCTCTGATGCTCCAGGGAAAATAGACCCAGCCTATTCAGCCTCTCCCTACAGCTCAAACCCTCCAACCCTGGCAATATCCTTGTGAATCTTTTCTGCATCCTTTCAAGTTTCAAAATATCTTTCTTATAGGGAGACCAGAATTGAACATAGTATTGCAAAAGTACCCCTGTACTGAATTATATTGTCTATTACTAAGATTAGTTCCGTGATATTTAACCTTAAACTCATGACCCTTTAATAGATGTGTCTGTCCATGATAGTGTTAGTAGGAGTGACTACTGCACAGTATTTGTGCAAAGAATATCTTCCATTATGTCATATGGCAAGAACATTCTGCTAAATGGGATAGATTAAGAATAGATCCAGGGTATGCTGGGAGCCACTGGCAGCAGCAGAATCTATAATGATAATCTGGAACAGCATGGCTTGACATATTTCTCAAACCATGGGAGATCACACCTGGCACAGAACCTGGTGCATTTGAAAATCAGGTACCAACCTGTTGAAGCTATGGCACAGGACTCCATGCTAAACAGTGAAAGCAGCATTCTGTAGACTGAGCTAAGCAATCACACAACCGGAAATTTTGGTCATCACCCTGCCAGTGTTCAACCTATCTAATTTACTGCATGTTACATCAAGAAGTGACAAAATAAAGCCTTTAGGTACCAACAACATTGCAGCTTTCATGTTGAAGATTGTATGGTACTGAACTATCTGCACATCTAGCTAAGCTGTTTGCTTACTGCTACAACATGGGCATCTATCTGGCAATGTGGAAATAAAATCATAAAATGAATACAGAAGTAAAGAAGCCCCAAGTCCAGCTCTCTGCAAGAACCACCCAGCTAATACCACTGCCCTGCATTTCATCACAAATCTGCAATTTTTTCTCTTTAGATGCTTATCAAATGCAGTTTGAAAGCTCTAATTTAACCAAACTCCATTAGACAATTGGGTACAGTGTTCCATTTCCTAACAAATTGCTGCACGACATAAAAGTAAACCCAAAAAGTGGAAAATAAACTGTTCTGCCAATTGTCACCTTATTGGCCAATGCCCAATCACTAGGAGAGTGATAGAATGAATAATCAACAGTGCTTTAAGGCAACAATTAGTCACTAATACAGAAATTGGTGGAAAACTCAGCAGGTCTAGCAGCATCTATGGAAAGAAAACAGAGTCAACATTTTGGGCCCAGTAATCATTCTTCAGAACTGACTTTTTTGGTTTACTTACTCACTAATAATCGTCTCTCCAAAGTTCAGTTTAGATTCTGCCAAAATCACTTGGATTTAGTAGAAATCAAATTCATGGTGTACACATGGACACAGGATGACCGTAATAGCTCTTGACATTAAAGCAGCATTTTAATAAATGGAGAAAATCCTCTTGTGGCTGAAATTATTTATGTGATTCTGTGAGATCAAAGACCTCAATATATGGATATTGCTGTAGAATTTCTCAGGACATAGATGTTTTTAATCAACCTGTTCATATGTCTTACAATATAATCTGGAGTAGGTGGGAGGAGTAGGGATTCTATCATTGCACCACAAGGGCCCTAATTCTCAGAACAAATTTTTTAAATTAATAAAACTTGAACCCAGGCCTCCTGGCTCAGATAAAAACCAAAAGAACTGCAGATGCTGTAAATCAGGAACAAAAACAAAGTTGCTGGAAAAGTTCAGCAGGTCTGGCAGCATCTGTGAAGGAAAAAACAGAGTCAACGTTTCAGGTCTGGTGACCCTTCTGAGGAAGTTCTGAGCAAGGGTCACCAGACCCGAAACGTTAACTCTGTTTTGTTCTTCACAGATGCTGCCAGACCTGCTGAGCTTTTCCAGCAACTTTGTTTTTGTTCCGTGTTTTTATTCCTCCTGGCTCAGAGGTAGAGACTCTACCATTATGCTGCAAGGATCCCCATATTTCTCAGGACAGCATTGTAGACCAAACTATATTCAGCTGCCTCATTAAGGACCTCCCCTTCATTGCAAGTTCCAAAGTGAGGTTCCCTGCTAATGAATTACACAATGTTCAGTTTTATTTGCAATTTCTCAGATAATGAAGCAGTTCATGCTAAGCAAGCCTCGATAACATTAGGGATTGTACTGATAAATGGCAAATTACATGCTGTGCAAACATCGACCAATGACAATTTCTAACATGAGAGAGGTCACTTTGACGTTCAGTAACATTGTCATCATTAAGTAGGCTCCTGGCTGCTTGGAGCTCTCCACCACAAGGTACAAAGGAAAAGTGTGTTGGAAGAGACCCCATTTGGTTGACAGGGTTTATGTGTAACAACACTCAATAGCTCTACACAATCCAGAACAAAGTCGTATGGTTGATAAAGACCTCATAACATTCACTTTTCCACCATTGGTGTACTGTGACTATGAATAGAGTGTTCCGCAACAAGTTGCCAAAACATTTTTTGCAGCATTGCCAAAGTCAAAAACCTCCATTACTTAGAAAGACATAGATAATAGTTGCAAGAGAATATA